GGAAGGACAAAGTGCAAATGGACTGGAAAATGCTGCTGGGGGACAAAGAAGGGATGCTGGGGGAACCGGACAGAGAGCAACTCAGACCCAGGCCTGAGGGGTCTCTGAACAAGCTAGGTCCGGCTAGGTTGCCATGACAGGATGGCGGTCAGTAAGATAGTAATGTGCACAAGAGACACCTTTTAACATCCATTCACACTTCGTTCCCACTGTTGCCTAAATTCAGGGGCTGTGTCTAGACTGGCCAGTTTTTCCGGAAAATCAGCCGCTTTTCCAGAAAAACTTGCCAGCTGTCTACACTGGCCACTTGAATTTCCGCAAAAGCCCTGACTTCCTACTGTAAGAAATCAGTGCTTTTTGCGGAAATACTATGCTGCTCCTGTTCAGGCAAAAGTCCCTTTTGCGCAAAACTTGCGTAAAAGATCTAGTGTAGACAGCTGAGATTTGTTTTCCGCAAAAAAGCCCCGATCGTGAAAATGGTGATCGGGGCTTTTTTGCGCAAAAGCACGTCTAGATTGGCCACAGACGCTTTTCTGCAAAAAGTGCTTTTGCGGAAAAGCATCCGTGCCAATCTAGACGCTCTGTTCCGAAAATGCTTTTAACGGAAAACTTTTCTGTTAAAATCTAGACGTAGCCAGGGTGTTTTACAAAAGCCGTTGGTCACTGTGTATGGGTCACAGGTTGCCACAGGGAAGCAATGGAGTGCCTGGAACCCAGGCGGACTTGCAGGCGGTAAACGGGTGGTGTACATGCGATAGCAGCCCCAAGTTTCAGAGTGTAAGACTTGCAAGATTTTACCCCCAAGATGCGTAAGGACAAGAGGTCCAAAACCTAATATAGATATTTAGCTAATGTGCTAAATATTGCGGTGTGTCCTGGGTCTAGCCCCATAGGCCCTGTTGCCTGGGATTAAGAATAAGGTGTGGGCATCGCTCGCCTAATGGGACTAGAAGATTCTAAGTTTGTCCTCCACCCCAGTTACAGAGGCTGAGAGCAATGGAGCTCTATTTCTGGAGGCAGATCTGGGGAACCAGAGCATGACGCTGAGGGTACTGCCAAAATAAAACAATTTTTATTACGATTGGTATTAAGATTGCAAACAAAACACACAGCACTGATCGCACTAATGGATTGAGTCACCCCGGAGGGTAGCGTAAATGAAGCTTGAGTATACAATTGTAATTATCTAAGTGTACAGTTACAATTACCTAGTACAGTACCAGATTCATACCTCTGGTGGAATGAGGCTCTCAGTGGAGTGAGGTAGAGTATAACAGCGGAGAAACTTAGAAAGAGTAAGTAAAGGAAAGAGTTTGAGGAAGGCAATCCTCAAGCAGAACATGAGGAAGAGGAATTCCTTAATGAGGAAGAAAATTCCCCCTGCACAACCGCTGTTGTAGGATCTTAGGGTATGTCTACACAGCAGGGCTTAACTCGAAATAAGCTACGCAAATTGAGCTACATCAATTGCGTAGCTTATTTCTAAATTGGGAGCACTTATTTGAAATAGAGCACTCTTCCTCCAACTTCCCTTACTTCTTGTACAATGCGGGTTACAGGAGTTGGAGTAAAAAGTCCTCCAGCTTGACAGTATTTCGACATTATTTCGAAATAACTGCCTGCTGTGTAGACACGGACTAAGTTATTTTGAAATAATGTTGCTGTGTAGACATACCTTTATAGGCCTTTTACGTCCACTGGAGCCAACTCCTCAAGGTCAAAGACACATTTCCTCACCCTCTGATTTTCATCGGGACATGTTTGATTGGATGATTACATTGGAGCACCCTTTTGAATATGCATGAAAAGGTCACCTGATGCCCTTTTGGACAAGTTCCCCAAAGTGGGGAAAATGGGAACTTGCGCTCATATACCCAATGCCTTCTGTTTCCTTGATCAGGGTGTCAGCTTGGCCAGGTCATTACATTTTTGGACTCATTTAGATTAGGAATGTAAATGGCTAACTGGTAAGCATCACCGTTCCAGTCCTCCTCCCCCGCCTGCCCCAGTTTAAGCAGTAAACCGGCTAAACATAACATTTAACTGGTTAACTGATTATCTGGGATTTTACATCCCTAATTTAGATCTCACGAGATACCGAGTCCCCTATTATCACCCAGTCTGGCCATTAGGTGTGTTGTGACCCAACTGATGTGACCCAACTGAAGGTTTCACCACAAATCCTTTCACAACTTCCAAAATCTATTAACGAGGGATGGACGCATGCACACGCGCGCGCGCGCGCACACACACACACACACACACACACCTTCTGTATTATCCCTGTAGACCCTTGCATTACTGCTAAAATATAGTGAAACAGTAATGTATATAGAAAAGTATTGACGTTTACGAGTTCACAGGCTACAGCACAATCCGCGTCCCCTTAGGTACATAGCCCAGCAGCTAGCCTGAGACGCCGCCCATCCCACTGCCACCTTGCTGCTATTTTTAATCACTCACTTGGGTAAACGTGCGTGCACCAGCTTGAGCAGAACTAGTGCGTGTATGTCTACCCAACCTGGGAATTAGCCTCCCAGCTGCTGTGGAGATGCATTGGCTGGGACTACTCCCTTGCCTTTCAGTAGCAAAAACTTCCATTGTGCTGCAAGATACAAGCAAATGATTTCAGTGGTTGATTAAGCTCCTCAGCGTCACTCTGGAGTAGAATCAATTGCAGAAGCAGTTTGTTGCTTCATATACTACAGGATCTTAGACATTATTACTTAGCTGAACCTAAGCGAATGCATGTGCGTAGGGTGGAAATAAATGAGATGACATGGTTGCTAAAACACAGCTGTTTGATTAAATATATTCCCAACTGTTAATATGCAGTCTCTCTCTCTCTTTCTCTCTCTGTCTCTCACACACATACATACCAGCACCATCGCCCAGTCAGGACAGCCATGCGAATACGGAGCTCCCACCGGTGTCGGAACAGATCATGCAAACGCTGAGTGACCTGGCCAAGACCTTCCAAGAGATGGCTGACCGCTGCTTGTTGGTTCTGCATCTGGAAGTCAGGTATGGCGCAGAATCTCTGAATCTAGAGGGAGGGTGTGAACGCTGGAGGGTGAAGGCTGCTATTAAAGGTTCACTAATGGGATTAGCTTCTTCTAGCAGGTACCCTAGTCTTGATGAGAAAGATGTGATAATCGATTATAAAACCAAAAGGAGCAACCATTGTGGTCATAGTCTGACTTCCTGCATAACCCAAGCCATAGAACTTCCCTGAATTAATTCCTGTTTCAACGACGGCATATGTGTTAGTAACACATCCTGTCTTGATTTAAACACGATCAATGATGGAGAACCTACAACAACCCTTGGTAAATATTTCTGGTGATTAATAGCCTTCAGTAGTGAAAATGTGTTCCCTCTTTTCAGTCTGAATGTGTCTAGCTTCAATTTTGAGCCATTGGATCTTGTTATACTCTTGTCTGCTAAACTGAAGAGCCCATTGTCAAAATTTTGATCCCTATGTAAGTATTTATAGACTGTGATCAAGTCACCTATTAGACTTCTCTTTGTCAAGCCATATGGACTGAGCTCCTTTGGGTTAGGTTTATGCTACTGCAGTAGGTCAGCCTAAGGTACACAACTCCAGATACGTGATCTGGAGTCATTGTACCTTAGGTCAAGTTACTGAGGAATCTACACCCGGGGGGTTGACGGGAGAAACTCTCCCATCAAATTAACCTCACTCTTCTGGTAGAAGGTAGTGTATGGGGGGTTGACTAGAGAACGATCTGCAGTCGATTTGGTGGGTCTTCATTAGACGTGCTAAATCAACTGCCAGTGCATCGATCCTAGCTGTAGTGTAGATATAGTCAGAGATATCACTATGAAGCTCATTTTGCCCAATCCTTTAATCATTCTCATGGCTCTTCTCTGAACCTTCTCTAATTTATCAACATCCTTCCTGAATTGTGAAACCAGAACTGGACATAGTATTTCAGTAGTGATTACACCAGTGCCAGATTCAGAGATCATATAATCTCTTACCCTGTTCGATATTCCACTGGTTATATATCCAAAGATCACATTAGCCCTTTTGGCCATAATGTTGTAATGGGAGCATATGTGTAGTTGATTATGTACTAAGATCCTGAAGTCTTTCTCAGAGTCACTGCTGTGCAGGATAGAGTCCACCATCCCATAAGTGAACCCAAGACTCTGCAGAATCCTCTCCAATTTAATGAGCTTAAATCTCTTGATTTCAGTGGGATTTTAGAAGAAAAATGGAAACATTGGGGGAAATTTTCTTCTGTTTAAACAAACAAACAAAAAAAATCCCGGTGTCTCCCTGTGTGTTGGCAACAACCAGGAAGAAATATTTTTCTGGGATCTTTTCCATCTGAACCTGCAAAAGCATGACCTATTGTGTGCGAGCTTCTTTATGGTTTTCATTCTGCTGTGCTCTGGATTCCAAGTGGGAGCCTTTTGTTACTAATTGTTGAAAGGATAATACAATTGAAGGATGGGGGCGCTGTCTTGATTTTTTTAAGAGTTGGATAATTTTATGAAATGTGGTTACAAATGCAACGATCAAGGTAATCAAATGTATGGCTTCAGGCCATCAGCTGATTGCTGTGGGGGTTGGGAAGGAATTGTCCCTTACATGCAGCCTGAGCCAGAAGTCTTAAAGCTGGTATTTCCTTTTTCAGTGGCATCAAGTATAAACTCATGCCAAGGGCAGGGCACATAAGATTTCTTGGATCAGCAGTTTGTGGGGACATTCAGGGGTATGTATCCTGTACCAGTGTAAACTGGCGTAGCTCCATTTAAATCTAAGCTTTCATGGCCAAAAACTTTGTCGGGTTGCATCTGACAAAATGGGTTTTTACCTTTGAAACCTTATACCCAAAACAATCTGTTAATCTTTAAGGTGCTACAGGACTCATTGTTGTGTTTTGCAGATACAGACTAACATGGCAGCTACTTTGATTCTTGACGTTGTTTATGTCTGTGGAGCTATGCTATTTTATACCAGCTGAGGATCTGCCCCATTATTTATATTTACATGGCATCGCTTTCAAAGAAATATATAAATTCACATCATGTAATGTTAGCAGCTTCTGAAACTACTATCCATCATCAGTTGGATACTTTATTGTATGCATCTCAGAACTGGGATTGTAAGGTACAGAGATAATTGAGTTATTGAAATAGAACATTTTACCAGTGTACGTATAGTACTGGGTGACAGCAAAACTAACCCTACAGCTGCTGTGATGGATCAGAGTGAAAGGGCTTCTATGCAGAAATCCTCTGTAGTTTTCTGTTGTACCAGGCAACTGAGTTTTGAGTAGCAGCAGCTAAAATGTGCAGCTCAGCAGTTAAGGATTTGTCTTAATAAGGGGCAGGTTTAAAACAAACATAAGGAAGTTTTTCTTCACACCGTGCACAGGCAACTTGTGGAACTCCTTGCCAGAGGATGTTGTGAAGACGGGGACTTTAACAGTGTTCAATTAAGAGCTAGATACATTCATGGAGAACAGATCCATCAATGGCTTTTAGCCAGGATGGGTAGGGATGATGTCCCTAGCTTCTGTTTCACAGGAGTTGGGAGGGGGTGACAGGGGATGGATCACTTATGATCCCCTGTTCTGTCCATTGCCTCTTGGCCACCTGGCATTGGCCACTGTTGGAAGACAGGAAGGATACTAGCTGGACTTTGTTCTGATCCAGTATGGCCATTCTTAAGTGTGGAGCACACCATTCCCCGTCTAGTCTGGGCCTCTGCCTCTATTGGTGGGCACGATCTGATACTGTTGTGTATTTCTCTGTATGTATGAGTGGAAGGGAGAGAAGGGAAGATATGCTCATGACCTGGAAACACGCAGTTTCTGTGAACGTTCCCTCCTATTAGTCACACTGTGTCTTGCAACCGCCCTTAAAAATATCCTGAAACTTACCCGTCTCTTTCGTGGCTGTGAACATCAGGATTCCCTGACATTGTTGTGAAAGGTCCCAGAATCCACCATGTTGTCCAGGGATCTAATGCAGAGTGTTCTCAGTCACAAAAACCTGTTCCTCTACTACGCCCTCCTGGCACATCTTCATGCATGGGAATTTATCAGCCCCAAGCCCGTGGGCAAGGAGGTGCAAGTGAATAAGGCAGAATTTAGGCCACCGCATCAATTCTTCTCCGTTTTAACCTGCCCTCTGGCAGATTTTGCCAGATGCAATCAATCAGCGGAGTTTGGCAAGTTCTGGGCTGCCTTGCAGCTCTCTGGAATCATGTGGGAATGATCCAGGGATCACTGTGTATCCAGAGTAATTCCACTCAAGACAGTGAGGCCTTGTCTACGCTAAAAGGAAGATCGCTACTGCCACGTTTGATTTAGCAAGCCTAGTTAAGCCTCACTAAATCGAATGCAGAGGGCGCCCCCATCGGTGTCCAGTACTCCTCCTTTTGCAAGGAGCAAGGGAAACTGCTCCCATCGGCTTCCTGCTGTGGGGACGCTGCCAGGCTTGGCTTAAGGTAAGCCGACGCTAGCTATGTATTTTACGGAGCTGGCATGTAACTTAAGCCAAGTGGCTGGGTCTAGTGTAGACTTGGCCTGAATTTATTCTGGGTTTACAGCATAGGTGAGATCAAATTTTGGGGCCCAATTCTGTAGCTTATCTACACCAAACCCATTGAGTTGCCCCATTAAAAAATAATAATGGATTTCACCCTACAAGGCTTATAGTGCCGTTTCTCTAGAACGCTGTTAATTCTATAGAACACGGTAGGTAATTTAAATGTATAGACCCTTTCCATGAGAGACCTCGTCAGCAGGAGGACTGGTGAGAGAGAGCATTGCCCGCAGAGCTTGAAATGAACAAGCAAAAGGAAGAGAGAAGTTGTGACAACTTTAAATGCCGGGGTAGAGGAACAGCTTTGACCTTGACAGGGTGTTGGGAGGGGTTTGTGTAAAAGGAGGAGGTTTTCTTTCAAGTTTCTACAAAGAAGGTTTTGCTGAACCAGCATGTACAAACCTGGCTAAAGGGCATTTGCATTTTATCTGAGAATGCCCCTCAGATCTAATCACCGAGGGCCTTTGTGTTTGTCTGCCGATGCAGCCAAATAAGGTGTTAAGTGGCCGATACGTATAAAGTAGAAATCACCAGCCCCGTTTTTGTGATTATTATTTTTCACCGATTTGCACTTCAGAAGATAAATATCCAACTGCCGCCGTACACAGGGCCTGCTCCGAATGTCACCTTTATCAGGCAGTATTTTTAAATAAAAGATCTACCTTCAGGAGGGCTTCCAGTGTGTTTAGCAGCAATCGCCTAGCACTGCAACCTCCTAAATATGCACTTTACAAAAATCAGCCGTCCTGCTGTGCAATCAGCAATGTTTTCAGAAAACCTTAATGCCAAAGTCATGTCGAGGTCAGATCAAACATGTCAGTGCTCTGAGAAATAAAAGCCCGTTTCTCTCTTCCTGGTTTGCTTTTGTCGCCGTCTCTGTCCCTTTTCTCGTTGCGAACAAAATATTGCCACTTGGTTCTTCTGGGGATCAGCAAGTACACTAAAAGCAGTGTAAATTATTGAAGAACTGGGGGCCTTAGACAGCTTCAGAGAAAGGGTAATGAGGTAAAGAGCCTTTCTCTGCAAGGCCCCCAGTTCAAAGGCAGCTTAGGTCAGGAAGGGTCACAAGGGACAGCCATCTGGGGATTGTGCCGTGATGTATGAGAAATGAATTTTTGGGTGGCAGTCTAGCTCCAGAAAAGAGTTTTCTTCCACAGAGAAACCACCACGTGCTGTTCTAAGCATGCTGGATTGACTCTGGTATATCCTGAAGTCCTCTCAGGGGTGGTCCAATTCCCACCAATGCCAGTGGGAGACCCTCCACTTTAACAGGAGAGGCATCAAGTCCTCTCTGATGTGCAAAACAGATGCAGCAACAGGCCGGGAAAAATGAACCACCACCATGATTTGAAGGGGCCACAGTATGCCTCCATGGAGTCTGCTCACAAGGGTGTCTATTCTGGTGGTGATAGAAATGTAGCCGTGTTAGTCTGGTGTAGCTGAAACAAAATACAGGACAATGTAGCACTTTAAAGACTAACGATGGTTTATTAGACGATGAGCTTTCGTGGGCCAGACCCACTTCCTCAGATCAAATAGTGGAAGAAAATAGTCACAGCCATATATACCAAAGGATACAATTAAAAAAAAGAACACATATGAAAAGGACAAATCACCCCTGCATCCCCCTTCTGTTCTGAAATGTGATTTGTCCTTTTCATATGTGTTCTTTTTTTTAAATTGTATCCTTTGGTATATATGGCTGTGACTATTTTCTTCCACTATTTGATCTGAGGAAGTGGGTCTGGCCCACGAAAGCTCATCGTCTAATAAACCATCGTTAGTCTTTAAAGTGCTACATTGTCCTGTATTTTGTTTCAGCTACACCAGACTAACACGGCTACATTTCTATCACCACCAGAATAGACACCCTTGTGAGCAGACTCCATGGAGGCATACTGTGGCCCCTTCAAATCATGGTGGTGGTTCATTTTTCCCGGCCTGTTGCTGCATCTGTTTTGCACATCAGAGAGGACTTGATGCCTCTCCTGTTAAAGTGGAGGGTCTCCCACTGGCATTGGTGGGAATTGGACCACCCCTGAGAGGACTTCAGGATATACCAGAGTCAATCCAGCATGCTTAGAACAGCACTACATTCCTCCCATGCACATTTTTTAAAGGAGGTATTTTTACTTCCCACCGGGCCTGGGGACACATGAAAATAAAACCCTTCAGCTGTGTCTAGACTACATCCCTTTTCTCAAAAAAGGGATGTAAATTAGACACTTCAAAATTGCAAATTAAGCCAGGATTTAAATGTCCTACACTGCATTTGCATAATGGTGGCCGCAGTTTTTCCGAAATGGGGCTTTTCAAAAGAAAAACGGCCATTTAGACGGGGATCTTTCAAAAATAAAACACTTTTTCGAAAGATCCTGTACTCAAAAAATGAGGTTTACAGGATCTTTCAAAAAAGGGTTTTATTTTTGGAAGATTCCCATCTAAACCGCTGTTTTTCTATCAAAAAGCCCTATTTCGACAAAAAAACGTGGCCGTCATTATGCAGATGAAGCACGGGAAATTTAAATCCCGGCTTCATTTGCAATTTCGAAGTGTCTAATTTACATCCCTTTTTCGAGAAAAGGGATGGAGTCTAGACACAGCCTTTGTCATTGTGTTTTCCAGCCACGTTCTGTGAGCTCAGCATGTCATGTGAGCAAATGTTACCATCTTACTGTGTTTCTCTGTGACACGACTCTCTGCCTTCTCTCTTCTAGAGTTCATTGCTTCCATTATCTCATCCCCCTGGCTAAACAAGGCAATTATGCCATCGTGGCCAACGTGGAAAGTATGGATTACGACCCCCTGGTGGTGCGGCTAAATAAGGACATCAGTGCCATCGAAGAAGCTATGAGTGCCAGCCTCCAGCAGCACAAGTTCCAGTACATCTTTGAAGGTGGGGCATTTGCCAGGGCGCTTGGCTGAGGGGCTGGGAGGAAGGCGGGGACTGGGAATACACTCACCAGCCTTAAAACTATCTGGGGGGCGGGATCTGGGTGGAAATAATTTTTCTTCCTTGGCCTGAAGATGGAAACACTTTTGTTGGGTTAAGGCTGACTGCAGAATGGTAGCCATCTGCTCCACATTGAGTAGTAGACCTATGCCGGCATAGGGCAGACGGCAGCTGCTCCTTAATGTGTATCAGTAAAATGTGAGGAATGGGCCCAGCGTGAGTGGGGGAAACATCAAATTAAATACACGCAAGTAAGGATCTTCATTAGGAAAACCAGGCTGGCGTGTTTGTGACATATAAACATAGCTAAGTTATGGAGTGGTCCCTGTCAGGACCTAATAGTCTTCTGTTTCTAACATTAAATTACTCACATCTGGAGTATTGCGCCCAGTTCTGGACCCCCCGCTACAGAAAGGATGTGAGCGCATTGGAGAGGGTCCAGCGGAGGGCAACCAAAATGATTAGGGGTCTGGGGCAGATGGCCTACGCCGAGGAGAGGCTGAGGGACTTGGGCTTATTTAGTCTGCAGAAGAGAGAAATGAAGGGGGATTTCATAGCATTTCATCTTCCTGAAGAGGGGATCCAAAGAGGATGGAGAGAGGCTGTTCTCAGTGGGGATGGATGGCAAAACGAGGAGCCGTGGTCTCAAGTTGCGGTGGGGGGGAGGTCTAGGTTGGATATTAGGAAAAACTAGGGTGGTGAAGAACTGGAATGGGTTCCTTAGGGAGGGGGTGGAATCTCCATCCCTAGAGGTTTTTAAGTCCTGTCTTGACAAAGCCCTGGCTGGGATGATTTAATTGGGGTTGGTTCTGCTTTGGGCAGGGGACTGGACTCGATGACTCCTGAGGTCTCTTCCAGCCCTAGGATTCTATGAATTTCAGCTGTTCTAATTATTTAAACGCCTACATTATTTCAGTGACTCTCATCTGTGGCTTTAACAAGCCGTTCTAAGGGCCTGGGTGGCCATAACGTGCATATTTTTCTGCAACAAATAGAACAAGATGAGAAAACGTACTATGAGTCACATCAAGTGTGTGACAGAATGTGCTGGACAGAAAAAGGAGCAAAACCAGAGGTCTATAATACTGGTTCTCCCCAGATTTCGTTTGACATGGAATCTAGGAAGAAACCCACATTGTAAAACCCTGGTTTTCAATCCCCTAGTGGAAGTTTTGAAGATCCAGAGTGTTCCCCACCCCCCATTTCTTCCCACCATTGGTAGAAGTTGTTTTAGTGCTCACGTCCCCTGAACAGAGATGTTTGAAACTGCACCCAAGTACTAGCATGCCAAATACAATATTACTGCATAATGAAGGGGATGCTGCCAGGCACAGACCTTCACAGGCAGAAGGATGGACTACAGACTGAAACAGGTTTTGCTATCTCTGACCTGTCTGATACTGTGGCAGGCAGTGATAACCCTGTGGAAAGGAGCTGTCTTGCTGTGTCAGTCTGACAGTGCATGTTGAAAGAGGAAATTTGTCTCAGAGCAATCAACCCACACAGAGCCTGGTGATCCATTTGTGAGCTACTGCTGCCCGTAGGGAAAAATTATTGCCTCTGCAGAGAACCAATTCACAGCCTGTTCATCTCTTAATCCTTATTTCGATTATTTACATTGAACGTAAGCAATAAATAGGCCTTGTGTTGCTCTCTCTGTTCCGGGACAAATCCCCTCGATTCTCAGTTTGCGGTGCTTATGGCTTTGTAGGAGCCTTTTGTGCTGGGGTGAATTTGGCCTTACATTTGTTTGCCATGAGACTATTTCATTGTTGGTCTGACTCTAGCAGTCTGCTTAAGACAAGGATGGAGACCTCAGTACAGTTACGCTTCGAATACAACTCTGTAAATATAGTGTCATCTTGTCCCCTGTGCTTACTCCCTGGAAGAGGCATCTACGTATCAACATTTACAAGCAAAACCCAATTTGTTTCCTGGCCACTAGACTTGGAGGATCTACCTGATTTCTGGAGATCACATCATGGTGTTTCTACTCCATGTATCGGGACCAACAGTGATGTTTCTGGAATCAGAACTGACCTAATGCTGATGAACCATGAGGCAGAATTGGAGCGGGGCAGCTCACTCTTCTACAGCTGTCTTGGCTTTGCTGAGCTGACAGTGTATAAAAAAAAAACTCGTACAACTAAAAATTCCAACTTGATTTTATTAGTAGATTATGCTGCTGTGACTCCGTAGGTACGTGGAGTGACGAGATGGAATAAACTTTCTGATGTCCTAGTTGAAAGAAGCTGAACAGAAATTCTCCTAGGCCTGTTTATAATGAATCAGTGTCCATTTTGAGATCCTGAAATATCCTTGGCTGTGAAAATGTCACAGATAGTGGAAACATCTGCTTCTCGTGCCATTAGTTTTGGTGTGTCCATTTTCTTTCTGAATCAAGAACCTTTGGTGGGAAATCACCTCAAAACGCACGGGGACGGGATGGTAAAGGCCAATTTCAAAAACACCTTAAGAACATGAGTAGCATCATCTATTACTGATATTTTCTTAATAGGAGGCGCCTTTTAAATGTTTTGTGTGGCTGGTGGCTCCAAAGCGATCTCTTGCTAACCGCTGTCTTCCTCTTTGCAATTCTTTGGCTTATTTTCCGTCTCCCCTCTCAGGCTTGGGCCATTTGATTTCCTGTATTCTCATCAACGGCGCCCAGTACTTCAAGCGCATCAGTGAATCTGGCATCAAGAAAATGTGTCGAAACATCTTTATCCTCCAGCAGAACCTGACCAATATCACCATGTCGCGTGAGGCCGACCTGGACTTTGCAAGGTGTGTTGGAAACCGCCCCCTGGTTTGTTAATGCTGTGGTATCTGTGGGTAAACCATGCATCACGAGGGTGACTGAATAAGCTAATCCAATGAGTAAAACCCTAGCATAGTTGGAAATGCCATCCACTTCTCTCTCCACTATACATACAGCAAGCTTAGCAGAGAATCGTTCAGTGGAATGAAGGTCACTTTGAGCTTCTCTTCCACCAAATTAGCTATGCTACCGTGGTTACATGCAATCAGCTAGATGAAGGTTTATACCTGTGGTGGTGAAGCACTGGGATGGGTTGCCTATGGAGGGGGTGGAATCTCCATCCTTAGCGGTTTTTAAGTCCTGGCTTGACAAAGCCCTGGCTGGGATAATTTAGTTGGGGTTGGTCCTGCTTTGGGCAGGGAGTTGGACTCGCTGACTTCCTGAGGTGTCCTCCAGCCCTGTGAGTCTGGAAAATGTGTGGATAGGTGGCAAGATTGGAAACGCTCTCTTCCTTTACAGATTTTTTTTTTGGGGGGGGGGGGGAGAGGAAGGAGGCTGTAGGAGAAACACAACATCCACCACACATGTCATTTGTTCCTATTTAACTATTTCACCTACTGTCTTCCATGCAAAGTACTCCACTTTGGAAGGAACAATCTGTTTCACACATACAGAATGGAAAGCGACTGTCTAGGAAGGAGTCCTGCAAAAAGGGATCTAAGGGTCAGAGTGGACCACAAACTAAACAAGAGTCAGTTGTGTGACGCTGTTGCAAAAAAAGCAAACGTGATTCTGGGGTGCATTAACAGGAGTGTTGTGAGCAAGACAGGAGAAGTCATTCTTCCACTCTACTCTACGCTTGATTAGGCCTCAATTGGAGTATTGTATCCAGTTCTGGGCACCACATTTCAGGAAAGATGTGGAGAAATTGGAGACGGTTCAGAGAAGAGCAACAAGAATGATGAAAGGTCTAGAGAATATGACCCATGAAGGAAGGCTGAAAGAATTGGGCATGTTTAGTTTGGAAAGGAGAAGACTGAGAGGGGACATGATCTACGCTTGATTAGGCCTCAATTGGAGTATTGTATCCAGTTCTGGGCACCACATTTCAGGAAAGATGTGGAGAAATTGGAGACGGTTCAGAGAAGAGCAACAAGAATGATGAAAGGTCTAGAGAATATGACCCATGAAGGAAGGCTGAAAGAATTGGGCATGTTTAGTTTGGAAAGGAGAAGACTGAGAGGGGACATGATTTTGGTTTTCAGGTATCTAAAAGGGTGTCACAGGGTAGAGTGGGGGGAAAATTGTTCTCCTTGGTCTCTGAGGATAGGACAAGAAGCGGTGGGATTAAATTGCAGATGAAAGGTCTAGAGAATATGACCCATGAAGGAAGGCTGAAAGAATTGGGCATGTTTAGTTTGGAAAGGAGAAGACTGAGAGGGGACATGATAGCGGTTTTCAGGTAGGGATGATCTAGACCAGTGTTTCTTAAGCGGGAAAATTGTTCTCCTTGGCCTCTGAGGATAGGACAAGAAGCAGTTGGATTAAATTGCAGCAAGGGAGGTTTCTATTGGATATTAGAAAAACTTCCTAATTGTCAGGGTGGTGAAACACTGGAATAAATGGCCTGTGGAGGTTGTGGAATCTCCATCACTGGAGATATTTAAGAGCAGGTTAGACAGACACCTGTCAGGGATGATCTAGACCAGTGTTTCTTAAGCTATGTTCCTGTGGAACACTGGTGTTGCGTGAACTACACGCAGGTGTGCCTCAACATCTTCTTTGTTTTTGTTATTTTTTTTTCCCTTTGTGTAACAAAAAAAATTTTGAAGGAAATGATCATAGGTGTTCCTAGGGTATTTTTTAATTAAGTTTTTCTGCTTTTCCTGGCAGAAACGTCTCCCTGGCGTGGTGGGTTTTTTTTTTTGTTTTTTTTTTTTGCCTCAACAAATTTTTATCCCGTATTGTTTTTGAAACCACCTGGCAACCCTAGGTGTTCCACATAAAAAAAATTATTGTTTGGTGTTCCGTGGTCTCAAAAAGATTAAGAGACACTGATCTAGACCATGCTTCGTCCTGCCGTGAGGGTCAAACAGAGGAACACCATTCCTCATGGGCGGCCCGTGAACCTAGGCAAACTAGGCAGTTGCCTAGGGCGCTGCTGGCCTAGGCGCCTGATGATGATATCATGGGGCACCGGGGCACCCCATGATTACATCACGGCCATTGATGGCCGAGCAGGTGGGGGCACCGATCGCACCTTCCGCCTAGGGCGCCAGCTGCCGCAGCCGGCCTCAATCCGCTCCTGGCTACCATCTGTGCTGCTGTTCAGAAGTCATTCCGTTAAAATCAGAAGAACATCGCTTTGCTACTAATGCTTCTCACAGCTCTGCCAGTGTGTTTGTAGCAAGCAGTTGTGAAAGAGATACCTCGTTGTCTTAACAAAAATATTCCCACTCTCCCAGAAAGGGTGACACATGAGAATTTCATGGGACACTTGTCCTTATGGCGAAGAAGAATCTTATATTCATTTGAAACTTGAGAGGGTGTTTTAGGTATGCAGACTATGGATGCCCAAACTGGAACTTGACTGTGACACTGAGGTTAATACTTTACTCCTGTTCAGATGGCTTGAAATTGTCAGTGACCCTATAGTACAAATCAATATTTAGCATAGAGTAAAAAGCTGACTTCCTCAGAAGTCAAGAGGTGACAGGGCGCCAGCTGCCGCAGCCGGCCTCAATCCGCTCCTGGCTACCATCTGTGCTGCTGTTCAGAAGTCATTCCGTTAAAATCAGAAGAACATCGCTTTGCTACTAATGCTTCTCACAGCTCTGCCAGTGTGTTTGTAGCAAGCAGTTGTGAAAGAGATACCTCGTTGTCTTAACAAAAATATTCCCACTCTCCCAGAAAGGGTGACACATGAGAATTTCATGGGACACTTGTCCTTATGGCGAAGAAGAATCTTATATTCATTTGAAACTTGAGAGGGTGTTTTAGGTATGCAGACTATGGATGCCCAAACTGGAACTTGACTGTGACACTGAGGTTAATACTTTACTCCTGTTCAGATGGCTTGAAATTGTCAATGACCCCATGGTACAAATCAATATTTAGCATAGAATAAAAAGCTGACCTCCTCAGATGTCAAGAGGTGACAAGATTTGGCAGTGTGTTGATTAAAGTTCCGTAAGGCACACAAAAGGTATAACCAGGATATATCCCCATTTTATAGATGTGAAAAGTGAGGTGGAAAGGATAATGGACTTGACCAGTGCCACAGAATGGAAATGGAACCACAGCTGGAGTTGGATCTTAAAATTTCCTGACTCCTGGCCCTATGCTTAGACTTACGGACCATGCCTCCCTAAAGACAGAAGGCTGGGGCTTTTCACTTCTTTTACCAGGTACCTCCAGTTCTCAGGTGCTGCGGATTCAAACAGACACCCCGCCAAAAGCAGCTGGAGCATTTGGAGTAAGCAAGTTGACAATAGTAAATGTTAAAACGCACCCACAGCACTGCGTCGGCTTTGCAAATGGATAGAAGAACAGAACTGGTGTCTCCACACTATTGGCTCACGAATGGTGGTAGTAACCATTTCAGTAGGAGGCAGCTGAGTACATATGAAATATTCACAGGGAAGAGTTTGGGGGCAAGAAATCTCAAAGCATGGCAGGTGCCAGGCAAAAATTTTGTCCAACGCTTTGCGTTAGAACGACCCACAAATAACGGAAGGTGGATTTTGCCATCATTTGGTCATCTCTCTCAGAAACTGAATTAGGTTGAAGTCTGACTCGCTCAAATTACAGACACGAGGCATGACTGAGTGCTTCATTTATTTGGGCTCTCCGATGGGGCAAGGGATCATTACTGCATTAGCCTATTTCTAATAACATCGACATGGGGAAGTTATAAATGCTCAGGCCTAAGGAGGCAGCGAGAGATCCATTACTAATTCTCTGAGGGATAGCGTTCCCAAATTCAATCATCCCTTGTAAATGATTTTTTGCAGTTGAAATGTTAAATAAATTAGCCGGCAGAGTAGGCTCGCAGATGCATTCATGGCAACTGGCATCCCAATTATGCTATGTTGACCAAGCGCTAGTAGAGGTTGGCATCCGGGGGCCATCAGCTAATTGGACAGGCACTCGTTGAACAGCGATGGAGTCGCATCTTTGAGTGCTGAAGGGCTAGAATGGAAGGTGTCACCCTGCCTCAGCCCTGCTTTCTTTGTGTGACTCTCAGTACATCATAGCACCATCGGCTATGATGGGCCGCTTCCCCATCATTAGTTTGCAGGGCTATGCATGAGGTACCAGGGGTGGGGAAACTTTTTTGGGTCGGGGGCCGCCGACTCAAAGGAAAATCAGTCAGAGGCCGCACACAAGTGAGAAGCCCCTGACTGAGAAGCAGGAAGACACTCTCCACATTTCCCTCACACACCAGAACCTAGGGAGGCCCAGCCTAGTAGATTTTGTGTGCTCCAGCCCTGCAGGTGGGTGGCTAGAGCGCCAGCGCGGGCTCCCCAGTGCTGAGCCTTGGGGCTGGATCCAGGCAAACCAGGTGTTGCCGGCAAGAGTGAGTCTCAGGTCTGACACTGGGTTCTGAAAGTACAAAAAAAGCTACACAGGTATCTGTCAAACACAAGCAGTTTATTTCCTGACAGCTACCAGCTGTGCTAAAACAACAGAACAACATGATAGGAAAAGCAGCATTTCTTACATCCCTTCTGCCAGCCGGGGAACCCGTTTCAGCTGCGGATGAAGTGGGAGACCGTCTCCGCTTCCGACGCACCGGTACCCAAAGCCCATCGGTGAGGTCCCAGTTGCTGTGCTCTGGTGCAGCTTTAAATACTGTGTCTCTATCTTGTTTGTGGCAGTTTGGAAATATCCGGGGGTTACTCATTGCTTGTTACACTATGGCTCAGTTGGACTGCTTGTCCTTTGACTTTGTTTACATGATCAGTACATTTAAGTAAACAGGATTGTTATGTTCCCGCCCTTATCTGCAATTTGTTCTTGCTAC